TAACGCTAGTTCTCCTTGACGCAGATCACTTGGGGTCATGGCCCAGGACTCCTCCTTCTGCACATATCACTCCCTCCCCTCAGGGCTAGGGCCCAGTCAATCCTGCCTTAGCCCTTCTGGGACCCCTGGACGCATCACCCTTCATGTGCTGAGACAGTAGTGACGCTGGAGCTACAATTAGGTCTCCTGGTACCAAGAGCAACAGGGCAGAAGCAACAGGCTAAAATGTGGGGTCCAGATCACCGCAGAGACCCCAGCTCTGTCTCAGGCTGTGCTCTGAGCGCCTTTAGGACAGGCTTAGACAGGAGCAGCCCCAGGAGTGGACAATTCGAGGTTGGACACAAGGTTCATCCCATTCACAGGCCCTGGGGACAGGAGGTCCCATATACCATGTAGGCCAAGTGGGAGAGACACCAGGGTCAGGGGAAGGCAAGAGGAGTGCCCTGTGACCACGGTCATTCTTGAGTCTCCATAGAAAGGCACGGAGGGAAGAATTCAGGATGGGCTCCTCTGAGGGACATCAGGGTCTCTGGCTGCGAAGTATCCACGATCACCCTAGGCCTGGCCCTGGGTGTGTGAAGCAGATCTAAGTTGTCTCCTCGGGGTGAGGCCCAGAGAGGACATGAGGCTCTGGCCTGGTCACTTTGCATGTGGAGGTGCTCTTGTCTGGCCTCTTGTGCCCTAGGACCTGGTGGCTCAGGAGGGACAGTTTTTCCCTGTCAGAAGAAGCCTGATGTAGAAGTCTATAGAATATGAACGTCAGGGTTGATAAAGCTCATGACCTTTTGTCACTTGGTGCATGTCACATAATTTAATTGACATGGCCAGCCCATGGCCTGGTGGGCAAGGGAGCTGGACGTGACACAGCCTACTGTGTGGTTTGGGTCCAGAACACAGAGGCTGGGAAACAGCTGGGAAAATATGTGTTGGTGTCCCAAATCTCAACTGGATGGAGATAGAGGAGGGCTTGTGGCAGGACCACGTTCCAATGGGGGTGTTTTCCTCCTCTCCCTCTCTCTGTCTGTCTCTCTCTCTCTCTGTGGTGAGTGCATGTCCCCTATGGGGAATAAAAGAAAGAATTACTTTAAAGAATGCTTTACAGGCACCAAAGCCAATCAGCATCTTCTAGATCTTTCTTGTTATATGCATGGTTTTAGAGTATGAATTTTGGATTGCTAGCCTAATCAAATGATGGGGCTTTGTTAAACTTTTGTGTATACATTATAGTCCATAGTACAGACATACATCGAAATATAACGTATGTATGTACAACTTTTCTTTAAATTTCATCTGTGCCTC